TGCTACATGCAGATATATAAGCCATGCACACAGGTATGAAAAAATAACTGTCACAAGAAATGAAAACAAGAATTTTGGAAAGCATCTATAAGTCGAAAATTAAAAATATATTTTAACAAAAAAGCAACACAATAAAAAGTTGAAAACGTCATTGATTAAAGAAGCACAAAAAGTAATTGTGCTTTAATAATCTGCATGTATTTTTGCAAGAGTTTGTCCCCGTCTGCTAAGGTGAGCCCTATTTACACTACACGCGACATTTCAAGACGTCTTAGCTAAAACGTTTTAGTAAAATCATGTTGAGTTTACACCACCATTTTCACGACGTCTTACGAAATATAATTGAGTTTACACCTGTTTTTCTAAAACGTCTTAGAGATATGTAGGCATTGTAAACTTTAATAAAAAAGCAGTCCAACACTGATTGAAGGATGGTTCAGTCAACATAGCTTCCCGCTTCTTTACTTTCTGCTAAAGAATGCATCGGTTTCAAACAAATATGTCCTAAAGAAAGCATTGTTAAAAGCATGAAAGAGGGCAGGAAGATTTTGTACATTTATTAGGATATGATACAACGCTTGGCGAATAAGTCCTTCTCGACATTTTTGGGTTATATTGGTAACAAAGGGATGAGACAAGAGAAGGGACCATGCTACACATGTAATCAGGAAGTTTCATATTTTCGTTCAGCGCAACGCATAAAACAGGGCTAAGAGCTCTTAGCTAAAACCGATGGATTTACACTCCCTTGTAAAACGTTTTAACGCTAAGTCGTTTTGGCTATGACTAGGGTCCTAAAACGTTTTAGCTAAGCGCTCTTTTCCGAGAGCTCTTGAGAAAATCTGGATTTACATTACATTTGTAAAATGTTTTAACGCTAAAACGTTTTTGGCCAAGACGTCTTAGGGCTCTAGTGTAAATCCAAGAAATAGGGTTAAGACACACGTTTCTTAAAAAAGACTTGTACGTGAACGTAGTTCTTTAGATAATTATTTCGGTAACCATTATTTCTCCTATTTGTACTGTTTACTTGGCCGATTGAGTATAAAGACATACGGAAAACAGTCCCAAGTGAATATGAGAGTGGAACAGTATTCCCCGGGAACGAAATAGTACACGCTCGGGTACAAGTTCTTTTAAAAACGTGTAACTTAACCTTCTTGTAAAACAAAGCAAGGGAAATGTAAAGCTAGCTTTACATCGTGGAATCAAGAGCCTTTACTATTATTGGAATATGAAGACTCTCTCTTGAAAGCATTCTAGTGCATGGCTCTGATAATCAGAATGCTAGCTCTAATGAATTTAAAATGTATAAACTTAAATACAGTACGCAAAATGCGTATCTAAAGATTAATTATTCGAAATGAACGTGGAGCTCGTCATCAAAATTGTCATCATCACCGTCAACAGACCTTCGCCAACTATTTATGAATACCTGGAAGATAAATTAAACCCTTAATTATTAACTTTTAAGTGTTAACAATAAAACAAGAAACTGCATGCATAACATGAATTTTAAACATCCGGGTATAAACGCATTGTTGGTCGCCTAGGTAGCATTCGTCAATTCAACTGACGGCTGAAGGATTCACCAACTAGGTTAATTCATGTCCAACTCATTTAATTATGAATAGTGACTGGAGATTCCTTCATTTATGTTTAAAATGGCTTAAAAAGTAGGTTAAACCATCAGCCGTCATCCGTCAGGTGAATCCAACTCATTTATCTCATGAGTAGTACCTGCCAATATAAGTAATTGAGTTTACCACTGATAAAAAGTAGGTTTAACCACCAGCCGGCAATTGAATTCATGAATGCAACCTTAGTTCTGAATTATTTCTGAACTGTTTCTGCTGAATCCCATGATGCGTTTTACACCTTTCCTCGAGTGAAGACCCCTGCCCTTCTTTACGTTGTGCCTTCCTCGCATGTGTCCATGTATGTATAACCCCAAACTTCACATGTCCCGCATGTCTGCAGCATTCCATTCATAGAAAGAACCTGTAAAAAAGAATATAATATTTAGCAGATGAGATATCAAACGGTGACTGAGACATCAAATGTTTTAACCACGGGCCGGGGTTAAACACTGTACTTGCTTAAAATCATACAAGATGGGGCATGCAGGCTAAATTAATATGGGTATTCGGGAAAGCCCGGACGCGACAATAATTATTGTCCTATGATTGAAACAGGGAAATCCAGGGGAAATCAATCTAACAAGGTTAATTAATTGAACCTCAAGAGTGCTCTATTTATAACGTCATTGTCCAATTTGTATATGTCAATCGAATGACGTCATTGTTATAATGATCTGATGACGTCACACGCAAAACTACTGAAGTGGAAAATGGCGGAACATCAAGGACAAGACGTAAGTTAAGATTTTGATCTATTTATAGTGGTCCTTGTCACTTATTATCTATATCTTTATCAATAAATCCCTTTGACTTTGAAGTTATTTGTAAAATCATCGTAAATCTAGAATATTTCATCCAAGGGTCCGTACAAATTCACGGCACCTGATTATGGAAAATTTCAGTGGGTCTCTCACAATTTGTTTTACAAGCAACAACATTTACCAAGGTAATCAACTCATTCCATGGATGGAATGATTTCATGCAAGACCTGTGTCCAAAGAGACGTCTTTGACATCATGGATCATAGATGCGCCATTCACATCCAATGGAGATTAGACAATAGACCTAAACAATCTTGTAAATAAAAACTATTTTCTGGATTCAGCATGTATGCATAAGCTTACACATATTTCTTTTTTTCTGTAGACAGTTACATGAAGACTTGGCAGACGCCATTTCAGAGAACTTTGGTGCAGGTGAAGGCCGAGTAGAGAGATTATCTCCAATGAAATCGGTAAGTATAGGCTATACTTGTAATACTATGTAATATGTATTGAATCTTTGAAGTCACGTCAAGAATTATTATAGTAAATAGTTAAAGATAATGCATTGCATTATCCTGCTCCAAATAACTGACGTTACTTTAATCAAACCAGTCAACTCTTACACGTACACTTACTCATTTGATTCAATGATGTGAGCTCATGTTCGGCGTTTTTACCGTAATTGAAAATCCAGTACAATGCATGTTATTGGCGTACGTACATACTAGATCTTTTATATCCATGTTAAGAAACTTATAGTATTCTATTTTTATGTTGCAGTTGATCTTCAGAGGAACTTCTTGGGAGCCAGAACAGACATGTTAGGGGAGAGATATAATAGATCTGACCAAAATGACCTTTGGGCTTTGGCCAAGAAGTGAATCAACCTGTTTACGAAAGCAGAGGAAACATCCCGAAGGTTCGCGCGTATATTAATTAAAAATAACGTTACAAATTATACTTGGTGAACAAAGTACATTACGCCATCTGGCCATAAATCATAGAATCTCGGTCTTTATTCTTAAATAAGTCTATATTCATTGTTCCAAGTTTTGATAGCGATCTTATCTGAGTATATTTTGAAGATTCAATGTTTATATTCAAGGTACTCCAACATATCCAAGAGCACAGTCGGATAATCTACTGGCAGCAAGGAAGGCTAGAGAGCAGGTGAGTTGTCAGTGAATAGACTAGTAGTCGCAGGTTTTATCATCACCAAGCCAATTCTAATTTTAAGTTATTTCACATTATTCACATATTATTAGCTTCGAGGTTAAATGAAGTTTTCTTGAATCTTAAGAAAAGGTGTTTATTAAACGCCAATCAAGACGTTGAACGTCTTTTTATCGGATAGCTTCTTGCGCAAACCTTTGAAAGATGCATAATGATAATATGAACACATACTTAGTTTATATTTTTTATCATTTCAGGAAATCCTGCCCAACAAACGATGACTTCCTCTGTTGAAGCTGTATAAATAACATTGGACAATTGATGCAACTTTTTTATATGGTTAATAATCATTTTCAAATGTATTTTACAATATTGTAATATATTTTGTGCTTAAAAAATGTTACACTCGTGTGTTTCTTTCATTTCATAGATGTTCTGATTATTAAAATAACACTACAGAAAATACAAATAAAAACTCTCTCGAATATTAACAGTTAACGTACATTGAGTCCTGACAAGACAAGCATTGGATTTATAAGAGTTGGCATTGTGATGCACAAATATGTATGAACGAAATAGTTGAAATGAAATGATGGTACACGAACCAATAGTAGCAGTAGCTCATAACATAGGTATATCTTTGTCAGATGTCATAGAAATGGTAAAACGTAGAATAAAATGATTCAATCCATGATTTGATTTTTGACAGCCTCTAATATAAATTCGAATGTGCAAGTTATAAGATTAAAAGGGAAATATGCTTAATGATTTGGGGTGTAAAAGTGAAACTTTTAAAAGCATAATTATAATTATAAACTGGATGAAATCCTAAATTACCCTGATCCTATAAAACGGCGCTGTACGGTACCGTTCAAGAAACAACGTTGTACAATACTGTTCAAACAACGTTGAACGGCGCTGTTTCTCAAACAACGTTGTACAACACTGTACTCGAACGACACTTGTCAACGTTGTTCAAACGACGTTGTACAACGTTGTTAACAACGTTGTACAGCGTTGTTAGATGATGATGCGGATTGGGGGTGTATTCAGAAGGTCTAAACTCCAAAAGTAGACACTTCATTTTTTCTGTACTCAGAGCAAAAATGTCTGATGTTTAAAGGACCTCTCAAAACCAGGATATAAATCGAGCACCTACCTTGATTCCCAATCAGCTACCTTTTGACTTCTACAGATAGTCTAACAATTTTGATTCTGAGGAGATCTTAATAATCTAAAATGTATCTTTCATAGACATTTATTGGATTTTGAATGTACATGTGTATCTTTATCAACCAACATATATTAATTGAACTCTTACAGTAATAGGCTAACTAGACAAAACGATTTCTCTGAATCAGAGTGTTGACTAAATCAAGCTCAAACAAAGGGTCATTAGTTTGACGACATTTTGGTTTTTCAGAATAGCTGGTAGAGACAGACCAAGAAGCGCATGAGCCAAAGATCAATTGAAAGCCAAGATGAACTTATCGAGGACATTAGGAATTGAATGTTTAACTATACATTCAGTGTATATAGGAGTATTAGTGTTGACGCTTATGCAACTAGTGACTGCAGAGGATTATTATGAACTGCTAGGAATAGACAAAAGTGCCAATAATAGAGAAATTAGAAAAGCTTTCAAAAAATTAGCGCTATCGGAGCATCCAGATAAAAATCAGGTAAGGCATACATTTATCAGTAACCAAGGCATCTAGTGTTTCAAACAGCTAAATAGCCAAGTCAGTTATTCATTCATGGTTTGAATGATTGATTACTTTTTTCATGTTTCCATAGCCTATTCATAAATGTTTTTTACTCATCCCAAATAAAACCAGAACTATAGATTTACAGGTTCTCTTTCAATGAATTGCTGATGCGTGGTTTAGATCCAATACACATCTTTTCAATGTTCACATTGTATTATCAGCGGTCTAATTCATGTACAGTACATGATTAGGTTTCATATGAAAAAATTCTTAAATGAAAACCTTCTAAATGATAAAAGCATCGATTGAGACCTTTTTTACATACTTCATTTTATATGTGTGCTGTTATTTTTTAGAGATGCCTATAGTATACAGTAATATGCTTTTATCATGTTATTTCCTTATTATTTTCAACTCTGGTTTGAAGAATTTTATTTGCAGGGTCTGTCAATTCTGCTTTAAATGTCAGTAAATTGTAAAGTTATCTCTTATTGTTTAAATTCTTTACCACTTCCATGTTAAATGTCATAAAATTAGGAAAAAGTGATTAATTTTTTCCACTTGACAATAGCACACCTGAATTCCTGACAACAATAAAGTCAGATACCGTTGCCACAGGTTCCTATTCAATTCGATTTTTATCAACATAACAGTTACTGTTTAACAGAGCACATAGATTAAACTCCTTTGGTAGAACGATCAATCAGTCTTTCTACTCATTGTATTAAATATGTTCTACCATCGAAATAACGCCTTTAGTTTTACCGATCACAATATGACATGGGACAATGGATACTGTATTTCAGATCTGTCCTTTCTCTGCTAATTATTTGAAATCCAGATTCCGTTGTCATTGATGATATGGAAGACAGTATATTATGGTGATTCATGACCACATTTGATCAAAATTGGGATTTCATATAATACACCATCACAAGAGCTTAATACATGCACAGAATTAGCGATGATAAAGTCCCATGAAATGAGGACCAAGTGATTGAAGAGTTAAAGCGACGGTTATGTCCGCCATTTGTGACAACGGTATCTGACTTTACCATTGTCAGGGTATTCCGGTGTGAATAGCCTGTTTTAGAGCTAAATGTGTCTATTGTTAATAAATAATACCATGATTTATGATGGTGTATTTTATTGATTCTCGTGTATTTCTGATACAGAATACATGTACATCTGAAACTGAAAATGGAAATGCAATTTCAGGGCTTGCATTAATGGCGTCCCATACATGTTAAGGACTCAAAAATAATTTGGAGGACGCAAAAATTGAAAATATTTCCGTTTTTTGGACACAAATTTTTTTAGGCCAATACTACGATGTGTTTACAACGATACCTAACAAAAACAAATAATTATGATCTCTCACCTTTATTTGAATCGTAAATAAGGCTCAACATGTTGAATATTTACAAATAATCATGATTCTCTCGAATTTTTTCGACTTTGTTTATTTTTAGATTTGAAACCATGACACGCCACAGTTTTTCCTATTCAGAAACAAATATTAGGTTATTCATGAAATAAAATGTATTCATTGTCGAATGAACTAACATGCATTTATTCAGTCCGTACTTAACGTTTACTTCCGTTTTAAATTCGCGGCAAGAAATCAAAAACTGAAAAATAGGGGACACACTTTTTTTTCAAAGGACACACTTTTTAAAAAAATTGCGTCCTTGGGGGTCATAAATTTTCTAACCTAATGCAAGCTCTGCAATTTTAACATTTTATTTTAAGCTGATAACTCTGAATGGTTGTTTTTGTCTGAGTTAGTTCATACTTTCTTTTTGAAACAGTTTCCAGGATAATAACAGTTTTTGAATGCCATTTTCATATGCATGCACTGTATTGACTGTATTTAATTATTCAAAAGGACATATTATGATTTGACATAATTTTCCAAGTGCTACTAAATATATATTTCTAATGTGCATGCACTATTCATGTATTTTTTTTATTCCTCACCACTCACTTGTAGGAGATACATTGTTTTTATGATATAACATTATAGCCTTTTCCCTATATTTTATGGAAAGTCAAACCCTTTATTTTGCACTGATACAAGTTGTGTACTAATCCTACAAGTGCTATATTTTTATATAAATGTAGATCTTTGCCCAACCCAGGAATCAAACTTGGTAACCTCTTAAAAACGATTCTAAAATTTGAGCTTTAAGATCAAAGGAAAATAATTCATGAGCACTATAGATCTCTGTGACAGTATTACAGAAGAGCATGACATTGGAGTCATCCCTATTCACATTTCCATATCATATTATATCAAGCATTGGTAATGCTGTATTGTTCCTAACTTCCTATCATGATATATGAAAAATACATTTACGGTGTATCAATAGCAAATAGACAGTTAGATCGATGCTAGGTTGCTATGTTATTTATGATTTGTTTAAACACTTCACTAAAGTACTCTACTTGAGTTAAGTGTTTGTATTAGTTACTGTTCATTAATAAAATCACTTAAATAATTTATTATTGATTTTATTAATCTACAAATCATTTCATCAAAGGATAATTTGTGAGAGTTTGTATTTTTTCATCCCATGTATTGACCATATTATGTTGGTTGATATATATATATATCTGGCTTTATATGGAATATTACTTTTGAAATATGAACAGGTATTCAACTTAAAGAATGAAACATTTTTGTAGTACATGTACCAGATGAATCTGTAAATATTTTCACTTTTCAATTTTGTGATAAAATGCATTGTTCAAGGTTAGTTAACCATTTTATAAAGAATTACCTCTCACTATTACCTTTTTAGGGGATGCATGTTTTTCCTCATTCCCCCTACCACCTAATCCAGTTTGTGCAAATTTTATATTTACATCTAAATAGCTCACACCTTAATTAATTCATTATTTTTCATAGGATGACCCAAAAGCTCATGAAAAATTTGTGAGAATAACTACGGCGTATGATGTACTGAAGGATGAAGAACTCAGGAAGAAATATGACATGTATGGAGAGGAGGGTCTCAAAGATGATCACAATCAACAACATGGCTATAGGAGCTGGAACTTCTATGATCAAGAATTTGGTAAGTGGAGGCCTGTGTCAATTTGGAGGTAGAGCCTAAATAATGAAAAATTAACTAATTTGGAAATAAAGTGTTTCCAGTAGACTTTTGTTGAAATATATTTTACTCAGGTATTGTCAGTCGATATGTTACGACATGCGCAAAGCTCTATTTAGTGATATTTTCATTTCAAATATGGCAGCCAATCCGATGTCTGACGACCCTTACAAAGAATCTAGGCAGTGTGCATTTTTACCTCCTGTGAAATAACAAGTGGAATTTAGTAGTTGTTTTGTGTTTTATTATCATTCTGCATCGTAATTCTATGTGATGTGGTGTCAAAATGTCAGCAGAATTACATATCCATACGATAATCGAGTGAATTAGATAACAGATTTTTCGAAAACCGGTCTCCTGCTAAGAGTGTAAAAACTTGTATTAACATGCTCAAAAGTGAAAATGTTCAGAATCTTGGAATTTCGTTCGAGAGCTAGTAATGTTTGCTCCGGCCTTCGTCATAAGTGTTCATCAGACTTCACGCATGCTCAGGAGAAACCATCAACCAATAATGTTTATAAATCAATTTTGCGCATGCGCTTTACAAGGGTAAAGAAATTCGTATTTATAAACGAACCAATTTGAGATATATCAGTCGGAGAAATCTGACGATCTACGAAACTCACTTCAAAAAATCAAATGTGGACTGACCGACTGACGGCGTATTCTACTATGCTGGGATCTAAGATTTTCAGTACAGATAAAGTCTTTTATGTTCTTTTGAATGAGGGAAGTCTCTAGTTCAAATGACAATAGTATCAACTTGAACAAAAGTTGAGTTTTGACGAAAAAATTTATATGCACAGAAGTCCCATTTTCGTTGTACCATATTGACTGTTGTTGCATCCTTGAATTTTACTCATAAGTGGACTTCCTATTATTATTATACAAAAGTTGATTGTTGAAAGTTTATTTCTGCCTGTGTTAACGATGAAAGTTTGAAACTCCTCCATGGAGCTTGATTTAAAATAATTGATCTAGAAAAGTCATGTTCTTTAATGAAGATGACAGTAAAACAGACTTTAACATGCAATTTCACAAATGTATAATATTATTAATTTCAGGTATTTATGATGATGACCCAGAGGTGATAACACTCAGTAAAACAGACTTTGGTGAGTAACTCAAAGACTGTCCTCATTTTGTGATAAAAAGAATAAGGACAATTTATTATGTATCTGTAATATTTTATATTAACTAGTGAATGATACAATTAAATTACAAAATGTCTCATTCCTTAAATGTACCAAGATCTTTGAATCTCAAAGTGTAAATATAAGTTCATTTGATTTGATTTCACATATTTATATTCAACTTATATTTAAGAAAACAGAAGTTGTGTCATTTGAAATTGAAGTTATTTAACATAATTGTTATTCTTATATTTCAGAGCAATCGGTAGAAGGCACGGATGATATCTGGTTTATCAACTACTATTCTCCTCAGTGTTCCCATTGCCATGAGCTTGCTCCTAGTGTAAGTTCCATTTGATATCTGGTTTATCAACCATTATTCTCCCCAGTGTTCCCATTGCCATGAGCTTGCTCCAAGTGTAAGTTCCATTTGATATCTGGTTTATCAACTACTATTCCCCCCAGTGTTCCCATTGCCATGAGCTTGCTCCTAGTGTAAGTTCCATTTGATATCTGATTTATCAACTATTATTCTCCCCAGTGTTCCCATTGCCATGAGCTTGCTCCTAGTGTAAGTTCCATTTGATATCTGGTTTATCAACTACTATTCCCCCCAGTGTTCCCATTGCCATGAGCTTGCTCCTAGTGTAAGTTCCATTTGATATCTGGTTTATCAACTATTATTCTCCCCAGTGTTCCCATTGCCATGAGCTTGCTCCAAGTGTAAGTTCCATTTGATATCTGGTTTATCAACTACTATTCTTCCCAGTGTTCCCATTGCCATGAGCTTGCTCCTAGTGTAAGTTCTATTTGATATCTGGTTTATCAACTACTATTCTCCCCAGTGTTCCCATTCCCATGAGCTTGCTCCAAGTGTAAGTTCCATTTGATATCTGATTTATCAACTATTATTCTCCCAAGTGTTCCCATTTCCATGAGCTTGCTCCTAGTGTAAGTTCTATTTGATATCTGGTTTATCAACTACTATTCTCCTCAGTGTTCCCATTGCCATGAGCTTGCTCCTAGTGTAAGTTCTATTTGATATCTGGTTTATCAACTACTATTCTCCTCAGTGTTCCCATTGCCATGAGCTTGCTCCTAGTGTAAGTTCCATTTGATATCTGGTTTATCAACTACTATTCTTCCCAGTGTTCCCATTTCCATGAGCTTGCTCCTAGTGTAAGTTCAATTTGATATCTGGTTTATCAACTACTATTCCCCCCAGTGTTCCCATTGCCATGAGCTTGCTCCTAGTGTAAGTTCCATTTGATATCTGGTTTATCAACTACTATTCCCCCCAGTGTTCCCATTGCCATGAGCTTGCTCCTAGTGTAAGTTCCATTTGATATCTTTATTATCAACTACTATTCTTCCCAGTGTTCCCATTTCCATGAGCTTGCTCCTAGTGTAAGTTCGATTTGATATCTGGTTTATCAACTACTATTCTCCTCAGTGTTCCCATTGCCATGAGCTTGCTCCTAGTGTAAGTTCCATTTGATATCTGGTTTATCAACTACTATTCTCCCCAGTGTTCCCATTGCCATGAGCTTGCTCCTAGTGTAAGTTCCATTTGATATCTGGTTTATCAACTATTATTCTCCCCAGTGTTCCCATTGCCATGAGCTTGCTCCTAGTGTAAGTTCCATTTGATATCTGGTTTATCAACTATTATTCTCCCCAGTGTTCCCATTTCCATGAGCTTGCTTCTAGTGTAAGTTCTATTTGATATCTTTATTATCAACTATTATTCTCCCCAGTGTTCTCATTGCCATGAGCTTGCTCCTAGTGTAAGTTCTATTTGATACCTAGTTTATCAAGAGCTTGCTCCTAGTGTAAGTTCAATTTGATATCTGGTTTATCAACTTTTATTCTCCCCAGTGTTCCCATTGCCATGAGCTTGCTCCTAGTGTAAGTTCCATTTGATATCTGGTTTATCAACTTTTATTCTCCCCAGTGTTCCCATTGCCATGAGCTTGCTCCTAGTGTAAGTTCTATTTGATATCTGGTTTATCAACTACTATTCTCCCCAGTGTTCCCATTGCCATGAGCTTGCTCCTAGTGTAAGTTCTATTTGATATCTTTATTATCAACTACTATTCTCCCCAGTGTTCCCATTTCCATGAGCTTGCTCCTAGTGTAAGTTCCATTTGATATCTTTATTATCAACTACTATTCTCCCCAGTGTTCCCATTTCCATGAGCTTGCTCCTAGTGTAAGTTCTATTTGATATCTGGTTTATCAACTATTATTCTCCCCAGTGTTCCCATTTCCATGAGCTTGCTCCTAGTGTAAGTTCCATTTGATATCTAGTTTATCAAGAGCTTGCTCCTAGTGTAAGTTCCATTTGATATCTGGTTTATCAACCATTATTCTCCCAAGTGTTCCCATTGCCATGAGCTTGCTCCTAGTGTAAGTTCCATTTGATATCTGGTTTATCAACTACTATTCTCCCCAGTGTTCCCATTGCCATGAGCTTGCTCCTAGTGTAAGTTCCATTTGATATCTGGTTTATCAACTATTATTCTCCCCAGTGTTCCCATTTCCATGAGCTTGCTCCTAGTGTAAGTTCAATTTGATATCTGGTTTATCAACTATTATTCTCCCCAGTGTTCCCATTGCCATGAGCTTGCTCCAAGTGTAAGTTCCATTTGATATCTGATTTATCAAGAGCTTGCTCCTAGTGTAAGTTCCATTTGATATCTGATTTATCAAGAGCTTGCTCCAAGTGTAAATTCCATTTGATATCTTTATTATCAACTACTATTCTCCCCAGTGTTCCCATTTCCATGAGCTTGCTCGTAGTGTAAGTTCCATTTGATATCTTTATTATCAACTACTATTCCCCCAGTGTTCCCATTGCCATGAGCTTGCTCCTAGTGTAAGTTCCATTTGACTTGTATGTATTGAATTAATCCATGGTTGTCGACATCAGTTTAAGATTATGTAGCATTTGTGCTCAATATTGCACTATATAGTTTTATTTTGATTACTAACAGCCTTTTCTTCCATTGTTTCATAAAGACTGTATTCTCCAAGTAAAGATATTATGAAAGAATGAAAATTCTTTTTGAATAGTTGTTTGTACATGATTAATTAATGTGTATTTCTTTGACTCATTGTACCAACTGGGTATTGTGTATTCCAGTGGCGAGAACTTGCTCGTGAGCTTGAAGGTGTGATCCGTATTGGGGCAGTGAACTGTGAAGATGACTGGTATCTCTGTAGACAACAGGGGATTAGGTCATACCCCTCTCTTCTCATGTACCCACAGGTAGGAGTTTCACATGATTTAGTTCTCAATGTTGCCATCTTTCTAGCTTTGTATAAAGTGTCTATTCTGATTAGTGTGTACTCATGTGAAGCACACATACGGATAATGAACCTCTAAATAACCCTTATGGATCAGTATAAAACAAAGTTTTATAAATGACATGACAGGCTATTTATGAAAATTATGTTGAATAAGAAAAGTAAAACTGTTTTAATTAAATAATTTCAAAATGGTGTATCCATAAACTACATAAACATACTCCAAGGTTTTATAACAGTAGTGCTTTAAACCACAACTTTCTAATGGAACTCTTCTAAAGGGACATTATCTTGTAATATATTTGCTGAAAATCTTGCTTTTAGTTACTTTTGAATTGATGTTATTTTTGAAATATCTGAATCCAAAAAATAAAAGAGTATTTAATGTTTCAACAATTCCCTTACAAATTTTCCAGAAAGAGAAATACTATGGGGAAAGGTCTCGCTCAGAGCTGCTTAAGTATGCCCTGAAGCAGGTAAGAAGTTGTTTTGCTTATTAACAAGAATATTATTTTTAACCTTGATATTTTTATTAATGGATACGATAAATTTTCACCCTCTTATACGATATACAATATCCCTATACACCCCCAATAATCCGGATGCTAAGTATGCTGAGTATAGAATAGCAAATAGTTACTTACCTGACTTGGTTATGGATTAAGATGGCATGGTCAATGGTCATACACAAACTCAATTTTATTCAGACACTTGTTTGTAATTCTCATATATTTTCATCAGGTATGTACTAGTGGTGCAACTCGCAAGAAAAATGCTACTCGAGTAGAAAGTGTGAAAATGCCACTGTAATCGAGTACCAATCGCAAAAATGAGGGAAAAATTTAAAAAAAATAAAAAACTCACCTAGTCGACTGTTTGAAGACTAAATAGATACAATTTCTTCGTTTCTTCTATATGTCATTGATGTTATATATAGTTTGTATCAATTTAGTGAGAATAAATGTAGTTATTCATGCCATAATTGTGTTTGTTTGTTTGTTTTTAAATATTTTCATTTTGTTTGCGGAATCGATACTTTGTTTCGTTCAGTGCATCCAAAAATGATCATTCCCGGGGTATGAGATCGTTGTTTGGGAATTCAATGCCTACTCGAGTTTCAAAAAACGTACTCGAGTAACTATCTTGGACAGGTTCAACGAGTGAGTGGCGAGTACTGGCATTCGAGTTGCACCACTAGTATGTACTCATATGTTTGAGCTGTGCATATAGTCAGACCTGTAATGTCAGACTCATATATGAGGATACATATTGAGGATATAGAGATAAATGCTCCAGACCTGAGTTGACATGCTCATTTGTTCCAATATTTTACTTATATTTCTGCTATATTCTCTCCAGGTACGAGCCCAGGTGTTTGAGCTGTGGTCAGGCAATTACAAGTCTCATATGGAGGACGAAGAGAAGTCCTCAAGGCCATGGCTTATCTCATTCTGTGGAGATGGTGGAGGTAATAAGGGTTTATAATCATATACAGGGTGAGCCAAAATGATGTACATTTAAAATTTAGACTTTATATACAACAGTCGTAAAATTGTGCTTGGATGATATATCACTGAATTATCCATCCAGTGTTATATCATTTTGTATTAATAGGAGTCCATGTATTATTTTGAAGGTATGATGAAGATAAATACAAGTGTACATCTTTTTTGGCCCACCCCATACATTTTACAATGAAAATGTCTTAACATTATACTGAATCATTTGATTCTTCCATACTGCACATACTATTTACATTTGGCTTTTACAACTGAGAATGTAGAATTAAATTTGTGTGACAAGAAAATTACATTTCCATTCAAATCATGATCTTATAGTAGTTCTTGATTTCAAGTTGGTAGAAGAAACATCATGGATCTGCCAAAATCACACCATTATGTAAGCAATACACATACAATAATACAATAAATACAACACAATACAATAATACAATAAATACAATACAAAACAATGCAATACAATACAATGCAATGTCCTGTTGTGTATTTCAGACTGTCTTGAGAAACAAACAACTTTGAAGCTTGCAGCCATGTTGGTAAGTAGTTCTTAAAACAATAATGCTTTATGTAAATAAGATGAAATAAGTGAAACAGAAAATGATCTGTTTACTGTAATGTAGGTGTACGTATAGAACTCTCAATGAAAAGAATACTGATATCCACCAATTACTTGTTTCAATGTCACTTTCAGAGCTCATTGGTAAATGTTGGAACATTAGACTGCAATGTTCAAGAGAAACTATGCAGCAAGCTGGGAGTGGAATATGGGACTTACTTCTTCCAACCAAATGAAGTGAAAAAATCAAAAGGAAAGGTAAGTAGTTACTTCTTATATATTTATTTATAAAAAATCAACAAAGATATACATTTCTACATGCATGCCCCTGTCATTTGCAGTGACTGATACAAATATCAAATGTTTGATGTGATAACATTAGAACATTTACTGCACTTTATATATTGTAGGTTATCAACAGTTTAGATGCCAAGGAGATCGCATATACTGTACTAGAACAATTACCAGATATGAAGAATCTCAAACCTGAGGAGTTCAAGGTATGCTAAGCTATGGCCTCATATATTTTATACTAAATGATGCTATCCTTTCATAGCGATTGTCACTCATATCAGCAACTATTTGTACTTGTCTATTATATAATGAAATAAAACTGATTATAAAAAAAAAAATACTAAATGATACACATTCTTAGTACTAGATAATATTGCTTAGTGAGCGCTTGAGTGGATGGTAAAAGCAAATAGCACTTTCCTGAACAGGTTGGAGCTTGCAGAATTTTCTTGCTGATTACAGAATCAGCCAGTGAGCTCAATTTGTGGGAATCAGATATTCAGATAACTTCTACTTCTCTTTTGAAGGAATCTCTAGCTAACTTAAAAGAAAACACTGATACAGCGTGGATGATACACTTCACTGAAGATGATGAGCTCCATGATCTTGAATTGAGGAAACTACCCATGTTGCTGGAAGGTCTTAATGTGAGTATAATAACAATCATGTATTCTATCCCTCTTTATCTAACAAATCAAGCAAAATGGAAATACCAGTTTAAAACTTGCTACTTACATTGGGAAAAGTTTATGCTGTAAACCCATGAATTTCTACATTGTTTTCATTTTTGTGAATTTTCAATCCCAACTATTCGCCAATTCAGTCTACTGAAGCAAAGAATGGGTATCGATATGGCGAACTTTTTGAACACACGTTTCTCTTAAACCAGTCATCAAAAATTTCTGAAAATCTTACAAATTGTCAATTTAATGGCCATCTTTTTAATGGTAAGAATGTAATTTGAAATAGATATACATACTTTCATCTCTATATTGTTTTAAAAAACACATCAAACATTTGTTTTGTTCTTGGTATCATGTTTCCAGAGTGAAATGAAACATCTTTCCGAACCTCATTGGAACAAAACGACATAAACACAACATGTTTAGGTCTCTCAATATTGTAATTGTACAAAGGAAATTTTGGTTGATTTTAAAAAAGTATCTTGTTAATGAAATTAAGGGTTTTCTTGATTTTTATCTATTTTGGGGGGATTTTGTTTTAATTTTTGAATACTTTTTTAAAATCAACCAAAAATTCCTTTGTATAACTTTAATATTGAGAGGTCTAAAACATGTTGTATATGCAATTTTGTTCCAACAAGGTTCGGAAAGACATTTTATTTCATTCTCAAGAATTGGTAGAAAGGAGCAAAAACAATTGCACTAAAAAACAAAAAATGTTAACAAAAACAGTTATACTTGTATAAAATATTTCTAAATAATTCTCGCATTAGATTGTTGTCAATCAGTCAACATTACATAAAATACCATGTTTTTTACAGAATGTTTTCAATGATCAGTTTAAGAGAAAAACATTGTTGAATTCAGTTCTCCATATCGTTACCTATCCTTTACAAGTTTGGTAAGTTTCTTTGAGAAAATTGTGAATTTTAACTGTATACTAAATGATCCAAGCTTTGCCCTCTTATAACCTTTCACATTTCTTCTCTTTATGCATAAACAGGTCTTCATGTACTTTCAGGTTGGGCGTGTGAACTGTAGGTACATGCGTACTGAATGTAATGATCTACACATCCATAAGTTCCCAACCTTTGTTGTATTCAAGCAAGGTGGTGGCCATGAAATACACCATGGTAAGTTGATACGGATCTAGAATAGCCGTCCCATCTAAGGTTAAGAATGGTATCTTGGTTAATTATAATATCAGCTTTAAATACTTCAGATTAGGTGAATGCGTTACACTTCAATTGTTATCCCATCGAACGAAGTTCGGAGGGATATAGGGAACGCCTCCGTCCGTCCATCCGTACGTACGTCCGTCCCTCCGGGCAATAACTCAAATACCGTTGGCCCGATTTTGTTCATATTTTGTACACATATACCCTATGGGGGTAGAAGTTCTGCTCGAAAGCCGATTTTCAAAATGGCCGCTCATTTCAAAATGGCGTAATTTAGGTGCAATTAATATGTAAAACTGTAATAGCAATATGTTTTAAATGTAAAAAATTAAAAAGGACATTAATAATGCTACAAATGTAGATATTAAAAAAGCACATGGCAGCCATCTTGAAAATTGGCGGCCTTTACTCGTCATTTTATGATTTTTGTTGTAACTCAAAAAATAGTGGAGCGATTTTGTTCATATTTGGTGTGTGAATACTATAAGCATTGCACACTGTCTAAAGACACTTTTGGTAGAAGGTGGCCATTTTGAAAAATGGCCGCCATTTTAATGTATTTTACTATAACTCGAAAAGTAGTGGAGCGATTTTGTTCATATTTGGTATGTGAATACTATAAGCATGGCACACTGTCCTATGACACTTTTGGTAGAAGGCGGCCATTTTGAAAACACTTTTGAAAAATGGCTGCCATTTTAACGTATTTTACTATAACTCGAAAAGTAGTGGAGCGATTTTGTTCATATTTGGTATGTGAATACTATAAGCATGGTACACCGTCTATATCTAATGACGCTTTTGGTAAAAATGCCAGCCATTTCTGTTCGATTGGACTCGTTACGCTTTGGCGTTGCCGTTGTTCTGGTTTTTAGTTTTGCAATTTGACAATTGACTTTGCAATCTTGTTCATTTCACTAATTTTTCATTATTACATTATTTTCAGCCAGTTTACTAGTCAAGTGACTCATGTTGGATTTGGCATCATACACATCCTGTCAATTTATCTGATAACGTTGCATTTGATCATGCTATACTTGTATTATAGGTAGAGAAACAGCACATTACATGATATAGCTGCTTTTGCCAGAGACAGCTGTGTGACTCCTGTACGAGTCCTCGGCCCATCTGACTTCCCAGCACCTGTTGTGAACAGTAAAGACCATCTGATCATTTTATCATTGTATTATAGGTAGAGAGACTGCACATGATATAGCTGCCTTTGCCAGAGACAGCAGTGTGACTCCTGTACGAGTCCTCGGCCCATCTGACTTCCCAGCTCCTGTAGTGAATAGTAAAGACCATCTTATCATTTTATCATTGTATTATAGGTAGAGAGACTGCACATGATATAGCTGCCTTTGCCAGAGACAGCAGTGTTACTCCTGTACGAGTCCTCGGCCCATCTGACTTCCCAGCTCCTGTAGTGAACAGTAAAGACCCCTGGTTCGTCGACTTTTATGCACCGGTGTGTACAGTTTATTTGTTTTCTTTTTAATTTTTGAAATTTGATTTCAACATTTTTGGGAAAATTATTCAGTATATCATTAAATTGAGTCGTACTTACTCATTGTATTCATTCCTCAATGTTATGATTTGAGTCAAAGAGTGACACTCGATCCTGGATATTTATCATTGTCCTAGATTATGTTATTGAATTATTGTTATTGTAACTTTATATATAAAATGGTCATTTTGTGAAGTAACTTTGTATATTTTAATGATTCCAGTGGTGTCCTCCTTGTATGAGACTTCTCCCAGAATTCAGGAAAACATCAAAGCATTTTGATGATGTTAGTTTTGGAACTGTTGACTGTACAGTTCACCAGGGGCTTTGTAATAAATACAACATCAGGTCCTACCCAACTACAATTCTGTTCAACCAGAGTGTACCACATCAGTATCATGGTCATCACAGTGTCAATGGAATCAAGGAGTTTATTGAGGTAATCTATATGAATCTATATATTGCAGGTGGACCATGGGTGTTCCAGTTATACATGTTTTACTGTTGTAGCATGCTTCATACTAATACTTTATGTCTTGGGGTAAAAATGACTTTCTTGCGTTTAAATTGATGTTATAATTAAAGCCATGGAGATGCAATATTTTTAAACTGATTTAAACAAATAAGAGAAGAGTTTATGAATTTCACAGGACATTCTATGGACCTGGGGATCAAATCTGATATCTTGTATTTTCTAGGATACCCTGAAACCCCCTGTGATCACCATGACTCCAGAATTATGGGAGACAACAGTTGCAAAAATGGGCAAAGAAGAGATCTGGTTGATTGACTTTTATGCCCCCTGGTGTGGACCTTGCCAGCAACTAGCTCCAGAGTGGAGCCGGCTTTCTAAAGTAATTTTATAGATATTTTATTTTATATGATGATTTTCAAATATTTTTGGATGTCCACTACTTAAGAAATACACTTGCCAGTACATGCACACCAAGTGCATCCTTTTATGATTACAATACAACATATCAAGCAAACATGCAACTATCATATATGAGGGGCCTTACGATTTCTCATTTAACCTGAAATTGAAAATGAATTTAAAAATGTGATTTTGGGCTCCTTGTATTCTTCAATAATCTTGTTAGTTTGATAGTGATATTTTCTATATTTGTAGATGTTTGATGATAATCCTAAAATTCATGTCGCAAAAGTTGATTGCCCGGCCAATCAGCAATTCTGCAGTCGTCAAAGTGTCAACTCATATCCTTCAATAAGACTATATACATCACCACGTAAATTTGTGAAATACAGTGGCTGGCACCGTGATTCCCAGTCACTAAGGGCTTGGGTGTATGAATACATGCCGAGCAAAGTAGCGACTTTGAACTGGCAGAAATTCTCCAATGATATTCTAGAATCACGGGATCCATGGGTGGTGGATTTCTATGCCCCCTGGTGTGGACATTGTCAGGTGTTTGCTCCAGAATTTGAGAGAGTTGCGGAATCCCTTGATGGCAAAGTGCATGCTGGGAAGGTAAGGAATGGATAAATGAGTATGAATTTTTGAGGTATTTTCTTTTTGAAAAATGAGTTGAAAGGGTAAATAACAAAAGTGCTGGAAGCTCCACTAAATTTTGACCTCGACAAAAGGGTAAAGTTTTGTCTTGTTGCTAATATAATCAGCTCTAGCATACACTGTTAAGGGCAATGTATAATCAAAATGGGGACCAAAAAGTATGTTCTCTGAGGAAAGAAGTTCCCATGATTGACTTTTCTATACTCTTCGGATTAAGTTTTACTGTTTTTGTTACTTCAAGGTGAACTGTGATGCTGAACAGTGGCTTTGCCAGCAGGCAGGCATAGGGGCCTACCCTAGTGTCAGATATTATCCTACTGTTTTTGTTACTTCAAGGTGAACTGTGATGCTGAACAGTGGCTTTGCCAGCAGGCAGGCATAGGGGCCTACCCTAGTGTCAGATATTATCCTACTGTTTTTGTTACTTCAAGGTGAACTGTGATGCTGAACAGTGGCTTTGCCAGCAGGCAGGCATAGGGGCCTACCCTAGTGTCAGATATTATCCTACTGTTTTTGTTACTTCAAGGTGAACTGTGATGCTGAACAGTGGCTTTGCCAGCAGGCAGGCATAGGGGCCTACCCTAGTGTCAGATATTATCCTACTGTTTTTGTTACTTCAAGGTGAACTATGATGCTGAACAGTGGCTTTGCCAGCAGGCAGGCATAGGGGCCTACCCTAGTGTCAGATATTATCCTACTGTTTTTGTTACTTCAAGGTGAACTGTGATGCTGAACAGTGGCTTTGCCAGCAGGCAGGCATAGGGGCCTACCCTAGTGTCAGATATTATCCTACTGTTTTTGTTACTTCAAGGTGAACTGTGATGCTGAACAGTGGCTTTGCCAGCAGGCAGGCATAGGGGCCTACCCTAGTGTCAGATATTATCCTACTGTTTTTGTTACTTCAAGGTGAATTGTGATGCTGAACAGTGGCTTTGCCAGCAGGCAGGCATAGGGGCCTACCCTAGTGTCAGATATTATCCTACTGTTTTTGTTACTTCAAGGTGAACTGTGATGCTGAACAGTGGCTTTGCCAGCAGGCAGGCATAGGGGCCTACCCTAGTGTCAGATATTATCCTACTGTTTTTGTTACTTCAAGGTGAACTGTGATGCTGAACAGTGGCTTTGCCAGCAGGCAGGCATAGGGGCCTACCCTAGTGTCAGATATTATCCTACTGTTTTTGTTACTTCAAGGTGAACTGTGATGCTGAACAGTGGCTTTGCCAGCAGGCAGGCATAGGGGCCTACCCTAGTGTCAGATATTATCCTGGGAGTATGAGAGAAGGCTGGCAACAGGTAATACACCATCTCATACAGAAGACATATACATTTTGCAAAAATCTATCTAAAATGGGTCAAAAGTAATCACACTTCCAAAAGTGTGTTAATTGTCAAAAAAGTGAATTACAGACAAGTTGTCATAAAGTCAATCTAAATGAAAATGTACATGTGCTTATAGTACAATGTAGTACAAGTACCTAAACGTCTGTTCATGTGGTGGGATATTTTCTATTGTGAATGAATGGGTCTAAAAGGTCATGTGCTTTGTCCGACTTACCAATTAAAATCATTACAACTAAACATGGCATTGTATTTGTATGAAAATTATTAGTATATATTTCATTATAACTTCATACAAGAACAATTTAAAACAATAATAAATAATTGGAATAATGTATATAATATAAAACATATATGGCAATTGTTTTAATATAAAACATATATGGCAATTGTCTATAATGTAGCTTGTCCATATTTTTCCCTCTCGTATTTTATGCATGTATCATACCAGCTACATATTTCTCTTCGTGTAGTGTCTTTTTTGTTATTATATTTTCTTGGGCTACACCTATTCCAGATTCCACTATCTTCTGGGTAAAGTGCCCATTGAAGTTCTGGTATGGTCTCCTTTGGGACAATTTTAGTTGTCAATTTTCTCTTTTGATTTTCAAGAAGCTTCTCTCCTGAAACATACAATATTAAAACATATGAAACATCTAAATTGTCATTTTGTTTTGATTTTACATTTCTTGAAGTTTGAACATTGTTGTTGATATTGACTCTTGAAATGAAGTTCTTATATTTACAACATTCTATTTTTGTATTTACCTTGCAATGTTGTACAACACCCTCCAACCACAATCTCCACTGCTTTCATAATTATCGCAATTGTAAGACTCATTTTCTCTCATATAATTTCTCTTGTCTGATATTTCTAAACAGCCGGGCAGCAAGGCCCCTCAAGTCCATTGTTAGCATTAAAATCCGTGACGTCACGATATATTAATCCGCTGACGTTCAACAAAAATTTTCTTCGTCAGAAATTTCTGAGATCTCTCATTTCGAAAATTGAATTGGTTGTAACGCGCAAAATGTATGATCATAATTCCTGAAATTACACAGAATCGTTGAGCTTAAGATACCTGATCTACGCTGCTAATATTGAAACAATCACGCACGTCTGTCGTGGCGAACAGAAGTCTGTCAGATTTTCAACTTTTACCGTTTCAAGTCGCAATTACTAAGCAAAAACGTAAAATACATTATTGATTACTACCCTCGAAGGAGCATATATATCTCTTCATATGTCCCTTGTATAAAATAACTCATTCGATTAAATATAAGTTGAGAAAACAGACATGATCAAGTGGTTAAAAACGATCAGTCCAAACCTACCGCCATTAAAACTCTGAACTCAGTTTGACCGTTGCATGTTTTGACCGGACGGCATGACATCTATAGATGAAATCGAATTCTGAATGCATTCTATCTGTCAAGTTTTTAGACAAACTACAGTCTCTCTCTCTGGCATTTACTTACTAGAGTCTCTAGCTTACAGCTAGACGAAACTTCATTGATTTCGTATGTACTGTGCTACACGCACCTACACGCACCTAGAACTCATTTTTAATAAATTTTATAAATATTTTTAAGAATATTAATCATATTTAGGATGAAGCGTTGCTTGTCTGGATTTAGATATTTCAAAATTTCATTTCGGAGTTTCAACACATGGTGAAATTTTCTCGCTGTAGCTAAAAATGGCTTCCGGTTCTGGACGTGAATAACATTTGAAATTATTCTCGCTTAAAGAAATCAAATATAACAATAGATTCAGACGGGGATGTGAGCTGGTGTTCTTCAAATTTATACATAAAGGTATATTTCATATTATTATGCCATATTTACTGTGCGTGTGACACAATGATTTACAATATTTATAATACTAAGGCAGCTCAATCTTCCTCCTCAAAGCCGGAATATAGAGAAGGCTTTGGACCGAAGTAAGCATTTACCGTCATTCACAATTCCTTTTCAAAGAACTGTTACTATACCAGGAGGATATCCGGCCGGGAGAAGATAACTGGCCGACCAGAAAGGGCTGTCTATTAGAGCCCCTTAGTCTATATAATGTCTATAGGAGTACATGGACTTCTATATACTGTACATAACATGTTGTTGTAGTTTATTACTGCCTAGGTCATTTTGACCTGTGGCTGACAAAGGCACTCACTGTACCTTTCCATTTAAAGTAGTGGGGTGCAATATTATATTTGAGGGGTCAGTCTCAAAATCATCTTTTTAATTAAAGGCCACCTAATAGGAATTTTATGTTGTTACTAATAAAACCCCATTCTAAAGGTGTACCATCAAAGGGTCTAGTGCACTCTCCTTTATGATTTTCCCATGAACAAAATGAATCATTTTAGGTGTAACATAAAGAATACAATGTCACATAATACTTTGGAAAATATTTAAGTATTTGGACCCACATGGGCTGAGGTTGAGGTCATTAAGTTCAGTAAGTGTGTATTGACATTGGATGTGCTCCATAGACTTAACATGTGGATACCATCAGATTCCAATGGAGATTCCAATGGAGGCCATTGGTTTCTATTGATTTTCACAAAAATACCTAAAATACACTATGACCTGAATTGATTGCAAATTAAATAATTTGACAGTATGACACAAATGGTATATCACATCAGATGTCCAAATATGAAGTTTGCAATCGATTCACGTCACACTTCAAATTAAAAGTTTATACATTTTTCATCATTTTTTTCCTACAAAATGGCTATAGAAAAATGCTTCAAAAGCAACTTATTACACTTATTAAACACCATACAATTTTGTAAATCCAAAGATTATACTGTTATGTTTCATTAATTAATAACATATTTGGATAAGATGTAGGGATGTGTACGATGCAAATGGATTTTGACAGACACAAAAATACCTGGTTTGGAATCTATGCCTCTACACTTCCTCATGGGGAGATCATAATGGAGAATGCACTGCTTCCTTTCAGTGAGAACACCTGGGTGTTGTATTATAGACACTTTTGCATTTTGGTTTGGTATTAATTCCTGATTAAATTTTACTTATCATTTCATCTCCACTAAGAAAAATTATATTACAAAATGGTAAATAGGAAATGGAAATTCCATACAGTATGCTATTGCAATACCAGTAGATTTATTTTTTTTAAAAACTGAACATTATTTTCCATGCCTGTTTACAAGATTTCATTTCAATTTCTAGATAATTCCAAATTAAATTGTCAATGTAATTTATTTTTTATTTAACATACTAGTAAGCAGTAAGTTATAACAGGTGTTTAATACAATGTATTAGCTCCTGCACATCCATGGACCATGTTTGGTCCTTTGTCTATGCAGCTAGCTACATATTCCTTGGTTTAGTAAAACATGAAAATTGTAACTTGTTAATTTTTTTTTTAAAAACCAGAGAAATATTGGTATTCATGACCTGCTGCCGGCCGATGGCTAATAAGAACCAAGTACAGTAGGGCAAGTTATTTTAAACAATCATATCTTTCAACATGAGTGAGTACTTTATGACCATAAATACAGTGGTTTCCATGTTTTCTTTTATTAAACAATAAGTTTTCTGTCAAGTAAAGTCCCCAATTAAAAATACCAATCAACTCTCTGAAAAATTATGGATTACCACCACCCTCTCACTTTTTTAGTGTTAGGCTTATTTTCTAATAATTATCAAAATTAAATTTTCTAAAGTATAGGTATCGATATGGTGAAATGAATCAACAATGTTTTTTCTTAAACCATTTACTGAAAACATTCTGTAAAAACACAGTCCTTTATGTAATGTTGACTGATTGACAACAATTTAATGCAAAAATATTGATATATTTATATAACTGTTTTGTCAACTTCATTTCATTCCGAACATATGATACCAAGAACAAAAGAAGTGTCTGATGTGTTTTCTAAAACAATACTATACCTGGTCCTTTAATTATCTTATGCCCAGCTAATTTAAATATAATGGCGATTGCCAATATTCTATTCATATTTCAATGAATATTCTATTCATATTTCAATGAATATCTATTCATGTTTCAATGAGTTTACCATAAATATTTAGTGGATTACTCTATCTGCCAGTAATTGAATTTAGTCACTCCTTTCTGATTAAAAGACTTGAGAGACATCAGACTTTTTCAGTTTATGCCTTGACACTTTTAACTGTCAAAGAACAGTGTTAGTGTTTTTGGTCAATGAAAGACTCACCAAATTCTTGCTAAGTTGGTTTAAATGTATATTCCATCTTCAGTGTCCCCTCTCAACATTAATTGTTTCTCAATACATCTGGATATTTGTTGTCAACGATACTATTTACAGCTTCATTTTTCCAAAACTTATAACAGTATCCAGAATATTCTGAAGCAACAATAATCAGAACAGGGTATCTAGATTTGTATATTATGTGGATACATAATCCTATTTTCCTAGGTCAATTATAAATTAACCAATGTTGCTCTGCATTCCTCGAAATATGTCTCTCTTGATTGGGTCCAGTCAGCAAGTACCCCATAAGCCTGGAAATATATAGAAGAGAAATTTTATATCTACATTTTGACTACAAGGCTAATTGAAATTATAAAAGCAGAATAACATTGTCTTTAATTGCACATTTTTTCAATCAACAAAGTTTTAAAAGATGTTAAAAGTTGAAACATACTAATCTAGTACACGCAATGTACTATGAGAAATTGAAATAAGGTTTTAATTATAATATAACCAAATGATAATTTGACAAGTATGATATTATACAAATATTTCGTACAGTTTCATTTAAGAATACTTGTTCATCTTTCAATGATTCTAGCAAAGTGTATTACCCAAAGCCTAAAGGGTCAGTGGAATACACTTTGCAGAATCATTGAAAGTGCAAAAAGTATCACTGATATTTATATAAGATTACGATAAACTGACAATGACATGACTTTTCATAGGCACATTGTCAACAATGATCTGAATTTCACTGTCATTCAGGCTCTAGCTATGTCATACATGTATGTGCTACGGAAATCGCCAGAGGAATATTGATCGCTTGCACACAAATATTATTACCTGAATGTTGTATATTCTTGCTAATCCCAAAACCGATATCCAGCAGACAGACATACTCCCAACTTCTTAGACAGATATAAAGATGAAATACAATGCAGCACACAGTAATTTGACTGACAGATGTCCCAGAGCTCCATATTGTATAGAGATTCTTGTACTCAATCCAATGAGTAAGGACAGCAAAAAGATTATGATGTATAGCATCATGTCCCCTTATCCTCAGCGGTCCATCCCAGCAGTTCATCACCATGTGTACTCACTGCATGGTCGTTCAGATAAAATGTGGTCTGTGTGTTATGGTCCTGGAATCGAGATACACAACAGTAGAGCACACAAACATAGACGTTACATCATTGCTGTACATGTAGACTGCATAAATAATGTACTTCGAAGCGATACTGTACATGTTTGAAGTAATCATCTATGCAAGCTCAAAAGAGGCTATAGCCAGATCTTGGGTACATTAAATGTTCAAATCATTCTAGACTGACTTCATTGAAGTTCATTCATCATATTCGGAAGTTTAGTGGAATTCATAATATTCTTTCATTTCTAGTCGGAGATACATGTACAGTACCTTACTTCTGAAATTCTAATGCGTACGATATGATGAGGACCTGCACAACGGTTAGACCTCATTTTGAAAAATCAGGATCAAATTCACAAAATCCAAAATCAAATTCTTGAAAAAATAATCGTAACGTAAGAATGAAATTATACATACCTTTTTGTGATAATTAGTTGACATCTTATATAAATGTATGACACCTCCCAACAAGGAAAGATAATAACTTAACCTAATTGAGCCATATTATCGCAAAATAACACAGGAAAGACTGTACGTTTCAGCAATATTTCAGTGACCTTGAACTATGCAAATAAAGATGGCGCCGTATATAATTGATTGGGGACCTGTCATTTTACACCTATCTTCATGATTGAAATTCACCAATTTTTCATGCGTCTTTCAATTGATTATTGAGACAGCAATAACATTTGGAATCAGCACTATAAAAAAACACTTATTTGAGAAAATGAAATTATCGTTATCATAAAACGGCCCAGACTTATTTTTGGCTCAAAAATTATTTAGTTTTTCTACAGCGCAAATAATCATCGTCTGCAGTAAAACATCGATAAAAGTGAGTAGCTTTAATACCTAACATTAGAAATTTCAGCAAAGATGCATTTGAATGTATGTTTTTAAAATAAATTGCTTTCTTAGACTTTCTGTAAGTTTCTGGTAGAGTTTAAAACCTTTATTTCTACTCATGTCAAAATAAAAAATGAAATTGTATGAATTGCGAAGCCAAATTTCAAAGTCAGATCTTGCCAACTCATATTGTGATTTTGATTAGGCCACAAGGTGGAAAAGAACCGGCGTCATTAGGGCTATCACATATCTGAATATGATAAAATATAACAAACGTTATCATCAAACGGCCCAGCAAAATTTGCGATTCAAGCGTTATTTTGGTTAAAAAATATATCGTATTGGGTCCATATGGAAATACGTCACAGAAACTCCCATGAATAAGATATTCGTTTAAAAGTACATCAGACCGACGCATGAAACTACACTCTCACATAATATTGCATTAATATACATTTAATAATTTTCCTAATATCCTTAAACTTAGTTTGAAACAGGCTGTCACTTTTACAGAAATCCAATCAACGATCTATATTCTCTCCGCGGAAGAATACCTAATTTTAATGCCAAACAACGTAGACAATTGAAACTAGGGGCCTTGCTGCCCGGCTGAAATGATATGCTGTCTTCAACTTAGCTAGATATTGTTATATGTAACCCCTAACAACCAAAATACTGTGACATCATAAACGTTAGCAATGAGTAAAGCTATTCTGATTGGATCATGACTGATGACATCATTATCATACTTTGTGATGTCATAATTAGAACTTTAGGTCCAGCTTTTCCCTTTGTGATGTCATGAGAAAGTTCAGATTTTTTTGTTGATAGCAACAGTTGCTTGGATACACAAGTTTATCTACATAATTGTGACATCATAATTTGAGTTTGTGTCATGTTGATTATTATGTTAATACCATAGTTACAAGTTCTCTTAAAATACAAACATCTTGATCCTGCCAAAACAACATTCAGGTCCTGTTGAAACTTAGGGGTTCCATCGTTGGAAGCATTCAGATCTTAGTCCATTGTTTGTTGTGGCTTTGATTTGCATAGTTAAGTAAATGCACAAACTAAGAACATGGTCAATATATTACGACATAGTAATAATATGTCTTTTTTTATTTTTATGTCACCACCACAAGTGATGACATATTTATAAGATATCCAACTTTTTTGTGGATAGTGTTTGGCGATTGCTGTTTGTTTGTTGGTGTTTGGCATTTGGTGTTAATGCTTTGTTGTAGATAAAATTTGCAAAGTAAATTGTATGCTAAATAGTCTTTTACACCCTTTTATCTAATCACCCAATCAAAATCAATTATGTTTGAGTGTTACCATACCATGAGAATGGTTACAGTATCTTCTCATTTATTCCAGAGCGCCCTAAGCCAAAATTGTTCCATTATTAAGGAAAGGTTCAGGTTTTTTTTCGGACTCTATAGAGGTCATAAGCCTTTGGCGTAGTTGAATGTAAAGTAATACCCTCTTCTACTCATATTTTTCCAGGACATGTATGGTGAAGACATCAACAGTCAAGATGGCAACTATATCATCAAATTACTCAAATCAAAATGGAAACAGGTATTTATCCCATACTTGGACGTGTTACGGGTACATAAAGCCGGTTGGTAAAAACTTATATTTTCATCAGCGGGCAGATATAGCTTTATGTCCCGCTCCGAGCGGGCAGATATAGTATATCTGCCCGCTACGTCATAATCGCTGTTCCCGTATTGGCTCTTTTTGTAACGTTCGCGCGCATACTGTAAACGACAATGGAGAAAAACGCAGACAATCGCGATCTGTTTGATGCTTTAAAGAAGGGAAGGAGCAGTATGCCCCGTTAATAATCAAAGATTTGAACAGGGAAATCCGGCTACGGACAAGAATACAAAACTGGACATGAATATTTTAAATAAGTCCACGGTTGGTTGCAAAGTTTCTGAGCTTTGGCCAATTGAACAATGTGATTTGTATGGGATAAACAGATCATCCTATAGTCGGTTCAGGATATTGGGATTATCCCTTGGCCAATATAATATATCTACCCTCGGGACCTACGGCCCTCGGGCAGATATATTATATTGGCCTCGGGATAATCCCAGTATCCTGAACCTCATATAGGATAATCTCTATTTACTCTTTATTTTGCTGAAATAATGGTTTTAGATTAAATTGATGCATATCTGGGTTTGCATCGAAATATCTTTAAAAAAATTATACTGTATGATTTTTGTAATCAAAAATAAAAATAGGAATTATCTTTGCTTCAAACTGAGCACTGAGGTGTACACTGTATTCATAAAAGTCCAATGTTGATTTTTGATTTATATCAAGGAGAAAATGCAAGTAGCCAGTGTAAATCTTAGTTAAGTCAACTTTCATTTTCCATTTCAGAGTCAGAGCCAAAGAGATGAACTGTAATAGAGACAACAATCTGCTGAGAATGATGTGTAAAGAAGAGGAACTCACATGCAGTCAACACCCATAATTCCATGGAACATCAGAGACTTCATTCCTAATGGAGAGTTATGTAATTGGAATTGAGCATAATATTAAGAGTGTCATCACAGACTAGTCTTGCATTAAATTTCTCTCCCTCTTCATTATTAACTGATGTGTTTGAGACATGAGATGGGTAAACAGGGGTTTGATGCCAGACTAGCTATATACAGCCACATATTTATGGGCAGATTGCAATTCAACAAAGTCAATTGAATTCCATCCATGAAACCATATAGAAAATGCTAACCTTCACTGTGCCAAAAATGTAATGTTGGCAATAAGTGTTGTTTATGAAGTATACAATAAGAACAATTCAACATGCATATATTATAGACATACATGTATTTATTTTCAAATGTTCATTTCAATGATCTCTAAGTAATCGTCCAATATTTCGCAACAAATTGCATTTTAGTTGAGAACAGAAATCTTAAAATGTTTGAAACATTGAATACTTCTTGTAAATATATTAAACTATTTTAGTATAGTATTTAACTTATTTTAACAAAATAATATTTAATGGTGCTTTCGATTTTTAACACTCAAATAATTTACTGTATTCATGCCAAATAATACACATTTTATTGCATTACATATGCTTCATGAAATTCATTAAAATTTGGATTACGATGATAGGAATTTCTTCACAAAATGACATATCTTTGAACATGTAAAGTTTTGGTATGAATAATGTGTTTCAATGATTAATAGACTTAGATGTATAAAGAGTGCTAGCCAAAATGGTTTAGTTTTAAAATGTGATATTCATTGTTGTAACATTAGTAATGGTTATATATAGATATACATGTACATGCAAAATAGATCAAAACCATCAAATGTATCCTGTCGTTGAATTTTCCAGAGTTGACTTTTTTTATTATTATATATTAATGCCAGTGGTGTCACCAGGACCTAAAAATAGACTAGACAAATAGATTAGACTGATTGCAGTTAGTTCAATGTCTGAAATGAAAGTTTGCTGTCTGTTGCTCCCCTGCTCTCCAGTTTTTTTCGAACATATGTTTGATAGTACCATAGGGGGGGGGGGGGGTGTGGCTTAAAGCAAAAACTTGAAATATATTTCTCAATGTGTTACTAAATATAAGGAGAAAACATGACTCTAAAATGTGTTTGCTAGTTTACATATTTTTGTGAAACTTACATGTATAACTCAAATGTACAATATAGACATAATATTCTAAACTGTCTTAATTGTTCATGAGTATTTTATTGAACATGTGATGGAAATCCCGTTATTTATGAGACACCAGAGATTAATTAGGACGATTTGATATTTTTTGTAAGTGTACATGTTCCATATTGGTACATTCCAATGAGGCATACAGTCACCAGCAATGAATCCAGTAACTTGTTATGTTGTTGAGCTCATTTTAGACATTTTTACAGCAAAATATTTCACTTGCTGCAGTTTTCAGGTGTTTTTATACAATTCAACTAATGTAAATTACAGACATTACACAGATTACATGCCACATTTAAAATGTCTCCATATTTCATTCATCACTCATCAGCCTGGTTTCTGCCTCTGCATTTACTATTTATACATGGGTGAATCCAACAACAGAAATCCTTCGATATGATTGCAATTATATGTTACCATATGTAGTCAGTAGTTGTGTTTCAGACAACGGGGAATGGATTGTAGATATTCCTGATAGAATGGTGCTGATATTTACACATTGTACATAAACAGCGAAACCTGTCTCATAATGCAAACCGTTAGGCCACTTTAGGTAGTATTAACAGATTGAATTCTGGAAGAGATTTCCATTCTGAATTTAACAGACTCTCTCTAGCAAGAGAAGTGTGTTCCTTGAAAATCCAGAGGATAAGAATATCCTTGAAAGCTCTTGATGAAGGATTATAATTTTTAATATATAATTGAAATGTTCTTGTTACAAATTAACCAAGTTTTCTGTTGATATAACATTGTTTTTATATTATAATTGCTTGTCCTCTCTTAGAAAACATGGCCAAATAAGGCAATTGTAAAAATGTAAGTATTTCATTTGTTTACTGTACTGTTAAGCAGATGGGGGGGGGGGGGGTGAGGGGGTATTAGATTTTAACCATATTAAAATATAGATGCAATAGATTTGTCATTGTGTCTTATATATGTGAAAATATGTTTTATTGTTGAATGGACCATTTACATAATGACTTATTGTTTTGGTATTTTATCTTAAGAATGTATTTTGATCCTGCTAGGGGCTGTTAGAATATATCACCAAACTGTGTTTTATAAAAGTATTTATTGAGAGCATGTAATATACAGAGTTTATAAGATACTCATCCCCGATTTGTGCTGAAGAAAAATGGTAATAAAAAAACTAAAAAATAGAGGTATACTTTTTTGTGTTTTTTGACTGATTTTGATCATCCATCGATGATGTGTCTACAATCTAACAATTGATGTGTCTACAATTAACCCCCCCCCCATCACAATTAGGTTGTGCCAGTTATCTTGAGCATGCATATAAGCATAGACTTTTAATCACTATTTTGATTACACTGACTTCACATGTTGTAGAACTGTAAAATAAATGGATATTCCAGTTGTGCTGAAAATGTGGGTTGTTTTTAAAAATTTATTTAAACTTGTTTTCCTTGTTAATTGTACACCCACTCATGGTTATATAGGCTGACAGAACATGCATGTACTTTCAATAGAATCTGTGAGAAAAATGAAGTAGTATAGATGTGAACAAACATTTCTATATTTGATATGATTAAACAAATTATGTGATCAAGCTAAGTTGCCATAGCTTGCAATGCCAGTATAGAAACTGTCCAGGTAAAACAATCAGAGCTCAACCTAGGAAAATATATAGATGGCGCAGTATAATCCTGGCAACAGTCACGTGACCAGCGAGCACCTTGCAAAACAACATGGCGGCAAAAATATTGAATTTTTTCAAAAAATATTTGTAACTCTGATAAACTACATGAAGTATGAATTGATTTTGACTTTTGAGCTACCAAACGAAACATGGAATACATTACTAAATCTTAAACAACTGGTAAGTTTGATTTGATTTCTAGATCATGCAGAATACGTCTCTAGTAGAATTGTTTGATTTTAAATTTGTTTTCAAAAAAATCATAAAATTCAAAACAAGGTCAGATAACTTCATTTAGAATCAGTCAGGGCCTATATACTTCATTAAATGAAATTCAACTTTGTGTCAACTTGTCTACTGACGACGTTTTTCAACCGCAAGATTTCAAAACACAAGTAGTTGGGTAGTGGATTTGAAAAATCAACTCCACATTTATGAGGGTAGAATCTAAGCCATGCAAAGTCTAGAATCTAAGGCTAGCTTTAGTTTCCATGAAGACTTTCGCATTTGAAATTGTAACTATAGAGATGGAATGTAAATAAATTAAGAGACATAAAAAATGTGAAAATCAGACAAAGTGTAAATCAGTTCGATCAAATACAGATTTTTATAACCCCATGCACTGGTACAATCACCCAATGAGACCATACTGCGGACTATCTTTTTATACTCCATTAGATCTACTAACCCAGTAAGAACTAATTCTAAGTATTAATCAATTAGACAGGCAAAATATGCATACATTGTATAAACCCTAGTCAACTTACTGTATAAACTTATCATGCTTATAAGTGTTCCAAATCTACAATTAAGTTCTAAGCATCATTGGTCAAAACGAAAATGGTTTCTTAGGATTTTCCTAATTTTTTTATCATTTCTGATTCTTTGAATGTTTCTAGAAGTCTCTATTGGTGACCATTATCCCATTTTTGAAAAGATATTAGATGCATGTTAAATTATCCGTATTATCTGAAATGTATAAAACTGAAATGAAAATGTTTTAAGGATTAGAACATTTCAAATTATTTATTTTCAAGAAAAGGATAGTAATATTTGATTGTGGCAACAAAATGCAAAATTTTGGTCTGTCTTATGAAGCAGTATCTTCAAAATGATGATTTATAGGAGCATGGGCTTTCAACTCTAGTTGAAAGCCCATGATAGGAGTTACCGTCAGATGACTCTTTATGAAAATAAATGTAGATTGAGTTCGAGTTGAGGATAATATAAGCATCATGAACTCTTCAGTCTTTAAAACCTATAATTGATATAAGCATTATTTGTCAGACTTTGTTAGGTGTCCATGCAGGGTTCTCACTAGGCTTTTAGACTCCGGAGATTCTCCGGAGTCTAATGTCTTAAAACCCTCTTGCTCCAGAGTCAAATAGCTTTTCCGGAGTCTAAAGTGTTTTTTCTGGAGTCTAATTTTATATTTTTGTCACATTATTTGCAGTAAAACTCTTGAGAAAATACATAAAACTGGATACAAAAAAGAATTAGGAAGCCAGAAACCTTTTAGAAATAAATATTTAGATTAAAATAGCAAGATAATCTCAAGAAGTATGTTGAAAAGTATACAAATAGTATATATCTCTGATCTCACATGGGGAGAAATAGTTGCGATACCGCGAAAAAAGTAGTCACAATACCGCGAATAATCCGGGGTCTAAAAATTTCCTGGTGAGAACCCCGGGTGTATTTGTAAAATAAAAGCTTTAGTTCAAGAATTCCCTGCATAAATATAATTTATAAAATACCCCAAAAGTGACCCACAAATATTTCTCTGCACAAAGAGCTAGGTAATTATGGTGACCCATTGTAACACATACCATTACTTGTCTTATTGTATTGTATGGAACCCTGGTAGTGGTAATATTCTAATATAATTGGTTGGCTGTGCTCTAGTAAATGTACTTCATTTCAGATACTAAAACAGTAATCATGGCAATGAACTATGTTGGCAACATTGCCATATTGGACAGAGGAGATGCACCTGCCCAGGTGGTTATAGATAAGAATGCCAGGTCCTTGGCCCAAAGAGTGGCTGATGACACCAGGGAAGAACTGGACAGGGTCATGGGAAGAGTGGAACATGTAAGTAACTTTCAGTGATGCAATTAATTTAACACCTTGGGTGAACGACTTTGTTTCATTTTAAAGTATCAAATTATTCCATTTCATGCTGTCAGAACTTTGCATGTGAACAAGGCTCTCAAATCGAACATTTATCCAGTTTTAACAGCTTTATTTTTACATCATAGCAAAATTATAATTTCTTTTATGAATAATTTAATTGCTACATGTCATAATGATACAACACAAGTTATTAATTATGAAACATCATCTTTTTTTAGATTTATGATGATCTGGATGCTGCTGACAAACTTCAACAAAACACCCGTCTCTCCAGTATGGAGTATCTCAGTGATGTGGTAAGTAATCAAGTAACACACATCTCTCCAGTATGGAGTACAGGTATCTCAGTGATGTGGTGAGTTATCAATATTGAAGTTCATGCTCTCATCTCATCTAATTGCTTAATGGAAAATCAAAAGGGAGAAAATTAATTAACCCGAAAAGCAGACCACATATCGTTCATGAAAATATTAAAATGATATCAAAACACATTGAAACTGTAATGTCAAAATCTTGCGAATGGCAATCATTTGGATTATTGGCAGCAGGAAAGTACCAATTGCAAATCATGTTTGCACAAGTGGCAATTAACTTGAATTAATAGGTTTCAAACAGGGAGATTTGATTACTGCATACTTGTAAGAGTATTGATTTCCTACTGCAATGACCAATTAACATCACATTTAGATTGCATTGCATGATTGTGGTAGAATTATACTTCTCAATGACTTTGTCTAAAAATTGAATGAACAAATTCGCAGTGTTACATAATTTTGATCAAATGAAATGAAATCATATTTCTTGAATGTTATCATTTTATTTTGGGAATCTGTTGAAGGCTATACTGTAAGTTTATTGTAAGGGTTGATTAATGTTGAGGTTTTTGATATATGCTTGTAGCCTGACAGACATAAGTGCCCAATGCTCCAAGTAGATTTCTTATAAGGGCTATCAAGGAGAATTGAAGCTTTTTTTGATTACAGTAAATCTACAATATGTTTCTAAAGAGTGGTTTTTCATACATTCCATATTCATTCTAAATAGTGTAAATCTTTTTTATTTATCCAATTCTAGTGATTGTTTCTATTACTTTGGCACACTAATTTCTGCCTTCCTTTGGTTACTTGATGCAGTGTTTTCACTTTGTACTACAAACAGGATCTCCTATCAGATAAGAATTATTATAATCATAAGAAAATTCAGTTTGTAATTTTCAGTTTTCTGAATTTATGATTATAATAATTCTTATCTGATAGGAGATCCTGTTTACAGTATATTTTCATGCTTTTCATTTATTCATCCTAGTATCCTACCATCATATAGAATCCTGAAATAAGATTTAATATTTTATCCACCAATATTGCTGTATGACCCATTGAGTGTTTTCATGTATTAATAATGTTGCAAGCCCAACACAATTCCTCACCTATTTTTTGAATTTTAGTATTATTTCAGTTGATATTCATAAACAACATTTTGATTTTCCCACAAACATGAAAATTGTTGATTGAAACCCAGTATGTAACACTAATAGTGACTGCCTAATTTTAAACAATTAAGTACATGATTTCGCCCCGGATTTCACCTTGGGAATACACTCTAAAATGTACCATACCATCAATATGTTGCTTAAGGAATAGTATGTTTTAGAGGATATTCACTTGGGGATATAACTTACAATATTGCCTTCAAATGTTGTCATTGTTTGTATAATATTAAATGTCTTTTTTTCGCATTTCCTTTTCAGTTTGAATTGGAGGAACTCTTGAAAGATCAAGTCAAGAAAAAGAAGGTTTGATTTTAATATACATTTTTTCATAATTCCTTTAATTCTTTATCATTATTCCATCCAACAAAGCTTGGGGGATATAGAGAATGCCACTATCCGTCCGTTTTTCAGGCATGTTTTTCGTGCGAACTCATTAAATATTAGGATTTTGAATTTCGATACAGCTCACATTGTCCCCACATTGTCTACATCTTTCAGTTTTGCACAAAGAGTGCACTACCTAGAAAAGAGTGTGGAGAATATTTTGTATATAAAATGTATGAAAAAACGAGAAAATTCATTGACCTACTTTTTGAAAGTACAAAATAAAAATGTCTCTTTATTTTCTCATTTTTATACATCTTATATAGAAAATATACACTACATACTTTTCTAGGTACCTTAGTGAACTCTTTGTGCAAATGAGAACGACCAAGACAATCTATGAAATGAGTTCAAAATTGCAGAAAACTTAATCATCCTCTGACGATGGCACCAATAAAACAGTTTTCCAGGTTCTGATTAAGAATATAATCTAATCCAACATAAAAATCGATTTGAAGATCCCAAAATTTATTATTTCGCTAACGTACATGTAAAATTTGGTAAAACTGTTCTGGTTATTATGATCAGATGATACAGAAGAAAAGTCCAAAAGTATGGAAAGTTCCATAATGGAGTTTCCAGAAAGGGGACAAATGATAAGTTCCCAAAAGTGCCAAACAGGGGAACCAATAAATGACCAGTTAAAGATTACATCAAATTAAATCTACTAGACTTCCTAAATCTCCTCATCTCCTCTAAAAGGAGGAAAATGTTAGTTCCCATTAAGAACAAACATATGAACCAATAGGAAGCCTAGTAAAGTATGTATTATTAAATATTTAAAATCATCCTTCATAGGTATCAGAACTTTTGTGATAGAAAAGACAAAACAAGATGACAAGAGCCAAGATTTCAAATTTTTTATGAATATTGTCATGTATGCATGCATAGAAACTAAAGAGAAATAAAGAATAGATATGATCTTACAATATCATACATACTGAAATGAAATCTGTGCCAAAATGAAAATGACTGAATTTAAAACTTGGCACATTATATATGTAAACCTCTTTCTTCCATTTTAAAAGTCGAGTAGTGGTCCAAAGAATCTATTTCCGTTATCACTTTGATTGCTCAAATAATCAATGAAAGCTCCAACTAACTCATCCTCTGAGATTTCCCCATCATGGTTTGTATCAATATAATCAAACTGCAGCCTTGCCTGAGCTGGGTCCAATTTAAAGGCTTTCCAGAAGACAACGAATTCATCAAAGCTGATGTGCCCATCAGAGTTGAAATCTACAGCCTAGAATATCAATATGGGTGTTTATATCAATACTGTTCTAAGAATACAATACGTATAATGCATTGTGCAAAATATTGTCTCATATGGTACAAAGTAGTAGTAGGAAGTAGTAGTATATAGAAAAAATAGGGTCATGCTTGGTCTTGGGATCTCTGCTTGGAGGGAAATTTTTAATATAGCCTCTCAATTCTAAATGCAAAATATTATCTTTATAACTCCAATACTAGTTATCAGATTTCTTTTAGATTGGCTGCCATTCTCTCGGACAAAATGTATTTTTTGATAACTCCATGCCATTTGTACGAATTTTGTCAGGTGCATGAAGCTCAATTCATAGAATGATACCTTATAGGTAGGCATTTGACTTCTGATTAAGAAAAATCTCAAATACGCAACTCAATTGAATTGCCCACCATAATTTGTTTAAAAAGCAATTTTTGATACCTGAGAGTTACTTCGTTGTTGATCAAATATTTAAGCCCAAAGACTAATGAGAATAAGACCTCTGGTTGAGGAGGATTAGATGGATGGATATTTGTAAGTCTTAGATGAAGCAGACATACAGCAATGAAACATGTATACATGTACCTGAAACAGGTTTCTCCAAAACACATCCCAGCATTTAGTCTCTTCAGGGCTATTCATGCCTGCCCAAATACTCAGTATTGATTCTTCCGTTGATCTTTGAGAGAAGAAATTAGGATCAAATTTTTCAGTTTCCACCATTGCAACTTTGATGCGTTCATATACTCTGTCAGCTTTTTTATCGCTCAAACCACCTGAAAAGTAATGTAATGTACAGGGTGGTAAAAAATACACATATCTTTGTCATTTTAAGAAATTACAAACGCTATGAAATTCTCATTGCATTGCTTTCTTGAATTCCTTAGTTCTCACATAACATTTACTTGATCATACTTTTTCGAAAATATTGACCTAATTTTCACCAAAAATGCAACCTATTATTATATTGTTGAATGCATAATAAGAATGTGCTTTGAGACATGTTCGATTTCCTAAAAGGAAAATTTGATTGCTCCAGGGACTTTAAAGATACTAAATTTGGATGACCAAAATGAACTGAAACCAATGGGATAGCATGAGATTTTTCAATGGAGAAATAACATTGGGAACACTTATCTTAATGCAATTAAGTTTTTCTTTCAAGAACTATTTGATACATCAAAATAAACAATAGTAATGCATTAAACATTGTAAAAAATGATTGCATTTTTGGTGAAAATGGGGTCAACATCTTGGAAAAAGTGTGTTGATGGGTTAATTGCTAGATACATCTAGTTAAATATCTCAGAGTTTGTTTGAATTTATTATTACTGTGCATAATTTTCTTTGAGATAATGAATTGATCTAAAATGTAAAACTTGTCTTCATTGTCAGAAAATAGCCATAATCCAAGATATAACCTTCTGAAATCGTTTGCGATAACCCACAATTGCTCCTTTTCCCAAAATTTGGTTCTTCAGTTGCCGAAGAAAATACTTGTGAAAAAGTGTCTCATTTTTTGGGATACCTGATAGTCAACATAAGCAAAGTACTATGTATGTTCATTCTCTCAGGAAAGTTCTAACAAAAAATTACACCCAAGCCATGTGCTATCTTTTTTAATGAAATGTGTCTATTGTTGTATATATGAACACACTTTAGTTGTTTAATAGTTTTAGAGAAAATGCTATTAAATCAATAGTTTTAGAGAAAATGCTCTTAAATTAATGACATTAAGTCACGACTCTGCTTACACCTTGCTTGCATGGAAAAAGTTGCAGTGTTTACAAAAAATCAGTCTAGATTAATTAAGTGAAGTTTCCCAATACATTTATCAAAATTACCTATCTCTACAAGCCTGTCTGCGAACACCCTGTAATTGTTTCTTTCAAAACAGCCAGCCTTCGTCAGATCCCAAGCAGAGATGCAAGTCGCTACCTTCCTGACCCATACTTTAGGGAGATCAGACAGCTGTACTTGCTTTACCTATGGGAGCATGACAGTGTAAATATTAAGAAATTAAGATTATACATATCTGAGAGGCTTCCCCTCCAGGGGACAATGGGATAGCTGGAGGGGATTATCAAATGTACAACTAAAATGCAGACCAGAGCATTTCTGTATTGATTTCAAGCAGAGAAATGGAATTGGGACTATATAAGCCAAAGTGGTTTAAACTTTAAATGGGGCCTTTAACATTGACCGATCGAATAGAATATACATGTAATGTTATCAGGCTATGTGCGTTTTAACCACCTATATGTAATTTTAAACCTGAGTTTGTGATGAAAAGTTTGTGTCTGCGTGACAAAAATATTTTTTCAAAACATATTTTATTATATTTTTTGTAAAGAAACTATTTGAAATAAATCAAAGAATTACAACTATCAATAAAAAATATAGTATGAATATTACGCTTTGATCCTTTAAAAGTTTACCTTGACAATCATATTTTTTTAATTCATCACATGTGTACTCCCGTAACTTATAACTTGAGTTTGAAGAATTGAGGACATCACATTTAGTTCACTCTAACTTGCATGCTAAACTTTTTACTTTTAAAAACAGTTCTTGTAGTTATTTATCTTTCATATCTTATATTAGGGGGTCAATATTAGGCCCCTTGCTTTTTCTAATATTCATTAATGATCTCCCAGATGACCTTGAAACAGACTGTTTTATCTATGCTGATGACACATCCATTTATTTCCCATTTAGCACTCAAAACCCAACAGAAATTGATGAAATAGTAAACAGATCTATAAGAAAAATCATATCCTGGTCAGAAAAATGGAAACTTAGCTTTAAACCAGAAAAAACAAAAGAAATTATATTCCACAAGTCAAAAATTCAACTGAATCAGATCAGTGACACAGTCATGAATGACATTCCCATTAACCGTGTAACTTCACACAAGCATTTAGGATATATATTTGATGAGCACCTTACAAATGAAGCACACATCTTGTCAATTAGAGATAAAGTTAATCAAATGCTCAACCCACTTAAGACTCTCCAACGGAAACTGTCATCAAAAACATTGGAAACTATTTTTGTATCCTTTATTAGGCCTCACTTTGAATACGGGGCTATACTTTATAACTCTTCCAATAAATATTTGCTCAATATCCTGAATAAATGCCTCTATCAAGCAGCACTTATCTGTAGCGGCTGTATTCATGGAAGCAGCACAGAAAAAGTCATTGAAACACTTGCTTGGACCCCTCTTGAAACTAGGAGGGATATGCAAATCTTGAGATTTATGTATCGTGTTAAGCACAATTTATGTCCAAATTATATAACTGAAATTTTTGAACCCCTAAAAAGTCATAATCAAAGATCATTAAGATATAATCTAGACTTCAAACTACCTATAAAATGTTCAGCTAAACTGAAAAACTCACCAGTTTTCAATGGTGCATCTATGTGGAACAAAGCCCCTCAGTATCTTAAAGATAGCCAAAGCCTCTCCAGCTTCAAAAATTGTCAAAAGAAACTGATTCAAAAATTAAAACCTAATTTTGACACTATAACTAGCTTAAAGCTAAAAAGGAACTTAGAAATTTTAATGAACAGATTCAGAGTAGATTTGATTTTTAAAGCTCAACTATATGCACACAATTTTACAACATTAAACACTCCAAACTGCACATGTGGATTACCTGAGACC